TTACAAGTTAATCAAAATTATACACATATGATAAACAAAGACACACACTGCATTGTATGAAGCCTGGTCAAATGCTTGTGGAAATCAGTTCTATGTAATTCTGCATACATTAGATATATTTCAGTAGAATCTGGTTCTGTGTTTCTTATGTAGTTACTTCAATCGCTAACAGAAAATTTGTTTACAGATTATTTATTTATTCTAAAATATTGATATATACTCATTATCCTACCGATCTCAGGATCTGCTATAATCCATAAAACACACAGGATAAAACACTCACATGGTATAAAAATAAATGATCATTTAAAAGATTAAAACAGCAATAGCCATAATACAATAATAGACAGACAGACGATTTGATGAGGACTATTCTGAATGTCAGAGTAAAACCAAGTATTTCCCTGGTGTTTAAAACCAAGCAAATTTAACTCCACTTCTTCCTTCCACCAGTCTCTACATTGGCTGGCTAGTCTTGTAAGCATTACCAGTTCAAACTGCTGGTGAAAACCTCCAGGCGGTGCATCCAGGAACACCCAGTTGTTTGAATAATGTGCTTACAATTCATGTTCCTGCACACTCAGTCATGCAAACAGGCTTAATATGCTTCTTTCCCCAGGATCTACAAAGCTAGAAGAACAATTCTTATCAGCTGCAATACCTGTTATTTGTGTAAGATATGCTAGTACTGAACTTAGATATTACACACACACACAGACACAAAGACACACACCACGCATATACATACATACATATATACATATATACACATACACACATACACACACACACACATCTCTCTCACATACCCACATACATAGACACAGATGTTTATATTATGTTGTGGTTTTTATTGTTGTCTGCCTGTACTGCACTTAGGTATAAAGTCCTACTGTTATTCTGTAATCTGGCTTCCAAGGGAAGAACCAAGTCAGGGTGCAAAACAGAGAAAGCCCTCAGTCAAGTCTCTACATCATGTGCCCCCAATCCTGTGGTGCTAAAGAGGTATATCCTGGGGAAAGCATTCCCTCAAGTATTAGGATCCTAAACTGAAATAGAATTACCAACACCCCAGATTCAACCAGTAGCATATAGGTAGGCAATGCGGTTCCATTTAGGACTGGTGTTATAGGAACTCTACAATAAGTTCCCTGCAAAAGCCTCATGGCAGCATTCTGCACCAGCTTCAGCTCTCAATTATCTTGTATGTAGGGGACATGTCAGTATTCAAACCAGGAGGTTACCAGAGCTTGAGCTACTGTGGCCAGGTCATCTCCGTTCAGGAAACATTGTAGCTGACCGGCCAGTCACAGCTGGCTAAATTTTACTTTGGGTCATTGAGGTTGGTCGGGCCTCATGTGAAAGAAATGAATGCAGAAGAGCATCAAGGCTGTGCATTTACTCCTTGAAGAGAAATGCAGTCTACCCAAAGTTAGAGACTTGGCCAGTGCCATGAACAAGTGCCACTAATCCATACTACTTCTGTCTTATCAGGATTCCCTCTTAGTTTACTGGCTGTGCAGCACTGAAAAAGGCTTTGATGTCCCTTACATTGGGCAATTCCATAATGTGTTAAGGACTACCAAGATTGTCTTCCCTGCTGGGCAGGAAATCCTGCAAAGCATTTTGGAATACCTCAGATTCCATGATTAATTAGGAGTGGTCCAATTTAATAGGTCCTTCACTCCCACTGGAAGGATCATTCTTCATCCCTCAAATCTCAACAGAAGTGGTCTCCCCATGATAATGAAATAATTGACTCTCCCCATAAACCTAGACTCTCTTCCTTCTGCCCGGTAGCACTATTTAGGCCCACATGTGTTAGGCCAGTGATAAAATAAGGCAGCATCATAGCTGTCATGGAGGCTATGAATTCCTAAACCTAGCCTATAAAAGGGGGGCCAGCATGGATGTTAAAATCTCCACAGAAGACCATTCTGGGATTTTCTGCTTCTGAGACCACTTCAGCCAAACTGACTATGGAGGCCACAGGAAATGTGAGGGTCACTACATCATCAACTTCTTTTTCCTGTCTCTCAGGCCTAATACCAGGTATATACCTTCAGAGCAGGCATCACAGCAGATGGATTTCCTCATGAGAATGATGCAGTCTCTACAGATAATAGCTACCAATCCTCCGAGCCCTCAGACCAGTGCTGAACCAAGAACCGAATGGACCACACTGAATGAAATCCCAGCTTCCAAGCCTGTCCAACCATGCCAGAGTAATACATGCCAGGTCAGTCTTCTTGGTAAGGGCTGAAGATGTTAAAATGAAAGCTCCTGATTCTCACACCATTTTGTAAATAAGAAACTAATGGCAGAAAACTTCACAGCTAAGAAAAAAACAGCTAATAGCTTATTAAGTAGAAAAGACGGGAGGAAGAAGTCTAGGTTTTGAATCCTGAAACTTTCTCTCTCACACACACACACACACACGGCAGTGTTTTCCTTTGCACTGCTATACAATGAAGTTCTCCATATGTATGACTTCATAACCTTTTGCAATAAAGTCACTTAATCTTCTTGTGTCTGATTGGGAATGTGAAACTGAGAGAGAAAGACTCTTGTCCACAATTAAATTACGGATGGAAACTTGAGGCAAACTGGCCTAGCATCTAAAATCAGTTCCTCTATTCTGCTTGGCAACCCTAATATTGAGAGATGGATCGGAATACAGCATCATTTTAGACATCAATCTAACCTATATTTTCCATATCCGGCCAGTCCAGCCTTCAGTGTCATCTCCCCCCACCCAAAATCACTGTCATTAACCTCCTTCTTTTCCCTCTCTCTTCCCTTCTCCCAGTTTTGGCAGCCTTACACTCAACAGCAGTAGCAAATGCAAAAAACAACACACACACACACAGTGTTATGTTTGTGTCTAATGAACAGCATAAAACAGCTCTCAAAAGGGCAACACCTTTCATGTTGTTTCTTCAGTTGCGGTCTTGCTGCCTGAGTGAATCTTTTTATAGCTCTTACCTTCACTAGAGCCAGAAAGAAAGGGCAGATGGAGAAATACCTCATCATGCCCCATGGCCTTTCTAGGAAGCACCAGGAGTGGTGAACCACACCCCCAAATTTCTTGGCTAAGGATAGTCTAGTAAACAGAAGCCACTAAAAGAAGGTTGAGATAGATTACTGAATCTGTTTAAATTTGGGATGTTGGCACCCGTTACTTGCTTGGGTAATGAATGAAGCTGATGCAAACAGTTTTGCGCTGAGACAAGAATCCCTGGTGCAGACAGTAAGGAAGATGACCTTGATGGAGATATGCAGGACCCTTTGCCTAGGCCAGTGTTGTCCAAACTTGGCCCCTTTAAGATGAGTGGACTTCAAC